GACATAATTTACTATAAATAAATATATTAAATTGTAAAAGCTTCCTGGATGGGAAGCGAAACGTTTTCAAACTTTTTTTTTGACGTATTTGAAATGTTTATAAGGTATAAACTACAATTGACCCTTCTATTCCAAAACGACCTGTGCAGAAGACTTTATAAATCAATTATTGTTTGTCATGGGAAAGAAGAACATAATTTTAGATAAACAGATCCTTTTGAGCCTGTTTTCAGCTCCTTTGAAGGCAGGATTTCATTTCTAATTTCTTAAGTGTCCTTAATTACACACTCATGTTCTATTTTGTAGTATGTTTATACTTCTATCATCCCTATACATAGTTGTTTGATGCAAAGTACCCATTTGTATAGCTTTAAAAAAATTATCTGAAATAAAACCAACGTTGATGAAGCACATAATCAATAATAATATTAATAATAATAATAATAATAATAATATGAAGCACATAATCAAAGTTGGAGGTAAATGAAGAGAAGATTTAGGGCCTCAATCTTGTCTTCAGTACTTTGAAAGCACTGCCTCAAATTGAGGCAGTACTTTCAAAGTTTTTCAGAATTTAAAATTAGGCTTTAAACAATCCTAACCCTGCAACCTTCCAGAATCTATAGCAAATTGAGGTTTATTTTCAGAAAAGTCTGACTCTTCTTGTATGATGTTGATTGTATGCAATTCAATTCAAAATTCTATTCTAAACTACTTTATCAATCCCAAATGGAAAATAAACATTACAGTAACTCAATGTTTTTTTTTTTTTTACCTCAAATGTAGGTGTGTATAGCTGTAGGTGGGAAGGATCTTCTGTAGCAGGGTCGTCTTTCACCAGGGTCAGGGGGGATTTACCATTAGGCAATACAAGACAGTTGCCTAGGAACCCAAGTTCCTGGGTACCCCATAAAACTCTGTTTACATGTGTAGTTAATACAACTATTCCTTATTTGTGCACATTAATTTTTTTTTGTTGATAAAAAAGCTTTTGCTAAAATGTCATCAGAACACTTATAATATTGTGTGTTTCAGCCCCCCTTTTGGAAACACAGGAAGGAGCAATCAGCTAAGTGAGCTTAGTGCTTGGAAAAAATCTTTCATTCCTTTAGAGACAGCATGAAAAGTCAGCTGAGTACAAAACATAGAGAGGAAAACAAGAAGAAAAGGGACAAGAAGAGAGGGACAACATTTTCAATAAATACTGGATGTCTATTCTATTAAAATTTCTCTATCTGTATAATGGGACTGTTTTATATGTTGTCTTCTCAGTTCAGAGGGCTCCCTGCCTGTCTTTGCATAGGGCTCCAAATTTTCTAAATCCGCCCCTGACCAGGGGTAATGGCTATCTTGGAACATCATATTCCTCCTCCTAGATGAGAGCAGTATCTGGATTAATGGAGCCATTTGGCTGAAATGAGCTTGTCAGTCTGAACATGGTACAACAGTTTTTCATCTAGTTTTTGAGAGCATTTATGGTTCCTCCCACACTTAGGCATCCATATCAACAGCTACCATAAGAACCTTTATCAGCACGCACACACACCCCACCCCAAGCTAGTTTTATAAATTTCAACATTTTAAGCACAAAGCTAATCTACAGAGGCTTTGGTCACTTGGCCATCACAGGTTTGAATCCCGGCCTGGTGACCTTTGCTGCATGTCTTCCCCCTCTCTCCAAGTTTCTGTCGACTTACTTTAAAAAAAATATAATGGCTAATAGAGCCTAAAAATAACCTATAATACACATCTTAAAATATATAAGTTTAAGGTGTAAAAAGAAAAAACACATTTTTACACACACGTTCATAGTTTACTGCTCCCACTAATGGAATAAAGTAATGCAGGTGAACACATACCACACCTCCAAAGCCCTGGAAGTAGAGTCTCTATGGAAAAGTGCATGTGTATGGAAAAGCTACCAAGGCACATTTAAAGCCCCAGGCTTTTTAGTGGTAATGAAAAATGAGCTACTGTATACTTTGATAACGGCTAAGAGTGACATGAAGCACACAAGTATATGAGAAGAAGAGGACCTCAGAAAAAAAAAAAAAACTATTTGAATTTTAATTCAGTTTATTTACATAGCCCAAATTCACAACACGTCATCTCAAGGCACTTTACAATTCAGCCAGATCATCCAGTCAAATTGATTCAAAGTTTTCTATCTAAGGAAAACCAGTTGATTGCATCGACTCATTGACTCGAAGACAACCCCTTACACCAGGCATGCTTGTAGTGACAGTGGAGAGGAAAATCAGGAAGAAACCTCCAGCAGAACCAGACTCAGTGTGAGCGGCCATCTGTCGAGGCCAACTGGGGTTCAAGGTGACATAAGCAGAGATACAGAAAGAAGCAGAGCTACAAAAGGCAACTGTAAACCAGCTCCACAGGCGGCCCTGTCCACGAAACGCACTGCCAGGCAGATGAGCTCCGAGCCAGCTCCTAAGTTCTGAGGATGAAGGGAGCACATTCAGCTAGTCACAGACAGAGAAACAGGTCACACTGAAAAATTAGGCCGATCTCGAACATCTGTAAACAAAGGTGTTGATGACAGCAGCTAAGCAAATAGGCCCACCACGTAGTTGTCCTCTAAAAGTGCCTGAGCAGAAAGGCGATTGGGTAACCGTACGCAAAAAGCGTAGTTGTGGATCTCTGCCCACTTGTCACCAGCAACTCTTTCACGTTTCTAACTCATTTTGCCTGCTCAGTGATGCAACCACTGAAAAGCCCACTCTGGTAATTGGCAGCTTCATAGTCAGAAACGTGGCCTTAGAGAAACATGGGAACATAGACAAATGTTTGCCGGGGCTTGAAACTAATGGCTAAGGATAAGGTTAAATACAGTAAGATAAGTTATTTACGCTGGCGGTAATGACACCCCGTTACGCCGATCGGAGGTCACTAAAATTAGTGTTGCTTCGGTGCTTAAGTTTTTCAAAAAAATGTCGAACTCCGTAATTTTCTCTGGTCCCCTCCCTGATCTGACCAGTGATGACATATTTAGCCGCATG